AAGATGGGGGGAGTAAGTGAAGGGAGGGAGTAAGTGAAGGAGGGGGGAGTAACAGAAGGTGGAGGAGGGGAGTAAGAAGAAGAAGGGGGGTTTGAAAAACGGGGGGTAAGAAGAACACAAGGAGGAGGGGGAGAGTAAGAGTGAGGAGAAGGGGAGATGAGGAGAAGGGGGGGACTGAGAAGAACACAGGGAGGGTGGGTAGTGAGGAGAACACAGGGAGGGTAGGTGGTGAGGAGAACACAGGGAGGGGGAGGTGAGGAGGACACAGGGAGGAGAGGACACTACGCGCACACACACACACAATGCATCCCCACACACACAGAAACACAACATGCTTCCCTTACACACAGAGAAACACACAATGCATCCATTACACACAAACAATGCAACACTTACACACAAAGACAATGCATCCTTTGCACACATACACAGAAACACATAATGCAAACACTTACACACACACTGCTTTTCTTACATACACACAGAAACACAATGCATCACTAACACACACTCAATGCACACACTTACAGACACACACCTTGCATCCCTTATGCATACAAACACAGATTCACACAATGCATCCCTTACACACAACCAGAAACACACAATACATCCCTTATACACAAATACACACTGCTTCCACTACACACAAACACACTGCATCACCTGCACAAACTGGTATCCCTATACACTACATACCATAAGCACACATATTAGATCCTCTACAACAGGGGTTCTCAACCCAGTCCTCAGGAACCGCTACCAGTCCAGGATTTGCGGATTACCTGGGTGTGTCTCAGGTGTTTAGAAAAAGGGAAAAAAAACACCTTAGACACACCCAGGTAATCCCTAAACCCTGGACTGGTAGGGGGTCCTGAGGACTAACGTTGAGAACCCCTGCTCTACAATAATACATAACACATCCCCTACACACTCCACTCCCTGTGAGCGAACTCATGGGTGGGTGGAACATATAAGTGGACTTATGAGTGGGCCTTGTGGGCATACTCACCATCAGGCCCTGCGGCCCAGACCTTGAGCTGTGTAAGGGGCCCTCCCAAAAATGGAGCTGCTTCCAATTCTCCCAGAACATTGAATTTTGTGACCACAGTTGCAAACAGCCTCCAGAGATCCTGTTCTACACCAGACCAGTGGAGCCAAACTGCAGCCCATCATCATCCTCATTTGGTTGTAAGTAGGAATCAAGTATATTATTAGTGACACTAATCTATAATTTACCTCACATTAAAGGGACACTATATTTCCCAGAACGACTGGAGCTTAATGAAGTGGTTCTGGTATCTATAGCCGGTCCCTGCAGGCTTTTTAATGTAAACACACACTGTGGACAGCACTGGCGTTAGTTCGTATGGCAGCTCATATAGGTGGGGCATTGTGATGTCACATGGGGGGGCGGCAAATACAGCTGTTCCCCATGCAGCCATAGGTGCTACTGTGCTGAGAGATTGTGATTACTCTTCACTTCCTCCCAGCTTACAGAGCAGCGCATGGGAGAGAGAGGGGAGGAGGCATGATTTAATCTTACAACAAATCCAGTAAGCAAATCTTTATAAATTTGGATGGGATCAGATCTGTTTCCACAGTTTATTGGTATTTACTCTGCTGTCTGTATTAATATTGAGGGATTTCTAAGTAGTAACATCAGTGTGTGTCAGCAGGGCCAGCCATTGGGGTGTGCACGCTGTGCGGTCACGCAGGGTGCCATCACAACAGAGGCGCCCGGCGGACAACACAGCTCACAAGTTGGGGACACCAGCCTATTCAATTTAAACGATTCGCTGGTAGTCCACTGGTGCGCACCAGCAGTAGGTGCAGTCAGATTATAGCATCTCCCTCGTGGTTCCGACGCTCAGTTAGTGAGTCAGAGCACAGGCTCAGAGATTCTCAGCCTGCGCTTTGACAACATTGAAAGTCAGAGCCGTGAAGGAGCGGGTATGGCAAAGAGCTAGTGATTAGCATAACATCAATATCTGTTATAAATCCAGGAAAAGGTGGGCACCATTGCACTGATTTGGTGGTGCAATGGGCCTCTTGACTGGTTTTGCCCCCCAGGCCTAAGGCTGCCAGCCCTCCCCTGCCTGTCGTGGTTGTCTG